AGTTCCAGAAACGGTACTAAAGTACTGGGACGATTTTGCGCAAACTATTTCCCAGTACCATTTAAAGGGTTGCATTCGCACATTCGCACGCCATATTGGAGATCGTAGACATAGATTGAATGTCCAGTCACCTGATCATTATTGCAAAATAAAGATCAACATGGTGACCGGAACATTACACTAAAATATTTGTCCTGAGAATGCTGTGTATTGGTCGATAGACATCCAATCCTAAATATCCAAAAATAAATAAATACATAATATTTATTAATAAATGTTAGGACATTTATAACTGCCAAATCATTATTTACAAGAAGCACATTATTATAATTAAGTTAAATTAGAATTACATTAAATAATTGTAGTTTGCATAAATTATACCCATCAGTATGTAGCTATAAGTTAATTGCAAATGTAAATTAGAATTAATTTACCATTTGTAACTGTGATTTCATTAAATCTGAAATAAATAAATAAACTTTTTTAAACAGCAATTTTATCAAATGAATGAAACCCCAAGCAGATGGTTTGGTTTCGCAAAGCGGTCTCAGCTGTGATCAATAAGTCGATTGATCAGGTTTGGGGGATGTGGGCAGCTCAGCAGCTGATAGGCCTGTCAACATAATCAATACTGAGACTCAAGTCAAGGGTCCTGGTGGAAATCAGACAACAGAGAGCAAGTGTGCATGTCCTGTTTAAAGAGGTCATATGACGTTGCTAAAAAGAACATTATTTTGTGTATTTGGTGTAATGCAATGTGTTTATGCGGTTTAAGGTTCGAAAAACACATTCTTTTCCACATACTGTACATTATTTTTGGTCCTCTATGCCCCGCCTTTTTAAAACGCGTTGATTTTTACAAAGCTCATCGTTCTGAAAAGCGAGGTGTGCTCTGATTGGCCAGCTATCCAGTGCGTTGTGATTGGCCGAATACCTCAAGTGTGTGACGGAAATGTTACACCCCTTACCATACTGTGATGCCGTGTCCAGTCGCGACGAGACAAAATCAATAAAACCCATTACAAACAAGGCTTTTGTTGCATCCAGTGGGGACACAATTACTGATTATAATGACTTGTACGGTTTTTTTTGCTTGGCGTATCGCGCCGCGTAAACATAAAACCATGTCTGCATTTCTGATCGGAGAAACGACAAGCAAGCGCTACTCTACACTGCTCAAAACTCGTGTTTGAGTCAGTGGCAAATTCTTTAAATATGAAAACGTACTTACAGGCTGCAAGTCAGAACAGTTGGCATTGTAGGATACTCTCCCAGGATCAGGAAATAGTCCTCCGTAAAATGCGCTGCACACATCTGCATATTTGGGTTAAACTGTTCTGGAACAGTGTTGTAAATACAACTTAACCACTGATTTCTAGTCGTGTCCTCTTTCACAGTTTCGAAACTGTTTCGCTTTCACAGTTTCGCTTTCACAGCGTCTCCACGACATGGCGGTAACAACACTACAGCGAGAATAAAAGTTATGCCTTCTTTCTTTGCGTGAAAATTTGGGTGGTGTTATGCAAATCTTCCCACACAGTGATGTAGACATGTGGGGGCGTGTTTAAACAAGGCATATTAGGAGGACGTAGACATGTCTTAACTTTTATAGAGAATATCTCTTTGGGTTTGAGCCTTTAGTCTTTGTAACTTTAGGGATCTTATCTATGCACGAACAGCTTGTAACACGCCGAAGATAAAGGAAAACTTGAAATTGCATCATATGACCCCTTTAAGACAAACATGAGGCCCATTCGCACCGCTTTAGTTCCAGAACTAAATGTACGGTACTAAAGTACTGGGACGATTTTGCGCAAACTATTTCCCAGTACCATTTAAAGGGTTGCATTCGCACCGACAGTACTAAGCAGTGACGTAAGCCGGTCGACAGCGTCGTCATTTGTGCGCGGCGTTCAACAACAGAAACAAAACACTACGTTAACAACAGGAGGATGGAGGACACTGTGATCGGAGCTGTGTTTTTGTTGTGTCTCGCGGGTTTCACAATAATGGACATGGAAAGTCGACGTATACGTAAAGAGATTGAAAGAATGGAAAGGAGGACTAAGAATCTCCAACGACAACTGGCAGTGCTACATTTGCTACAAGTGCCTGCACTTCAGCGTCCGTCCATCTATCGCTGTTCTCCATACTTGCGAAATAAGTTGACATGTTTACAGTACGTTTACACGGCGTTTTAAATCATGGTGGGTGAGGGCGTTTTCATACGCGTTTGGCCAATCAATGTCTACTTACGTCACGAGTAGTACCAGTTGTGCTGGTTAGACCCTGCTCCGGAGTAGGAGCTAATTTGGTTCTCGAAAAAGGCAGTCCGGTACTAAAATCGCTCCCAGTTCCGGCGGTGCGAACACGCCGAAAAGTGGGTAGTTCCACAATTAGTTCTGGTACTATGAAAAGGTTCCTGCAGTGCGAAAGGCCCTATGGAGACAGACCTATAATATAGGGCAGAAAATACTGCTGAGTACTGTCAGTGTAGTTTTGAAAATTGTTTGTTTGTAAGCTACATATATATTTTGAGTAACTGTTAACAAATTAGCATCAATGATCTTAAATTCTCACATCATGGATGAATTTATCAGTGAAAAGAAGAGTGAAAGTGACTACACAAAGAACACAAAGCCGACAACAATCTAAAGAACATAAAACTCCTCAGACTGAAAGAGATGCCAAGCATGTCAACACTAACTTCCTAATCAAACACAAACTCAATCCAAACACATGCACCATTCCTTTATTTTCAGCGAGAACAGAAAAAAAAAAACCTCTTCAACAGTCAAGACCACCAAACAAAGACATTTCATGCAACCATTTGCATCAGAAGGCATGACACAGCAGGTCTGAATCATGACAGCTCTTTCGTGTTAAGGTGCAGCAGCACCACTGGCAGCTAACTCTTTAAATGCTCTTTCACTCCCTTTTTCTGGCATGTCAAGACCTCTTCTGTGTTCTGGGTAAATGAATTCTCTTAGGGTATGAAAATATTTGCATGTGCAAATTGGGACGAAACACAGAATAAGTTAATACTACAGCTCCGTTCTAAAATCTAGTGAGCTGACATGCTGTCTGCAGCCTACATTAATACCTTTCACATGACGTCATTGTTGTGGACTTCCTCACAAATTTCCAAGGTGGAAGTCTGACGTCAATTGCTGTTCTACTGCATTTGTCCAAGTTGAAAACTGGAATTGCTTTTTTTTTTTTTCTTCCACAACATGTAATTTAATGCAACTCACAACTGAACTAAGACATAACATTGTTTTGCTATTGGCCTAGTCAGCTGTGGACTAGGACATTAGAAACGGATCAGGTTTTAGCTACAAACAAAACAACTCACAAATTATTTACTACGGTTGCCGTGTTTCTTTGTAGACTAATTAGATCAAGGCAAAAGAAGTATATCAACAATAAGTATACGAGTCTAAAATGAAGCATAAATAAAGAGGTTAAGATGGAAAAAAGGAAGTACACTTCCAATATTATGTTACATTGATTGAATTCATTAAGTAGACTAAAAAAAACAACTCAAGACAGATTCAAAATAGCACGTGGACAACAGTGTCCATTTTTTTGTTATGCTAATCTCATTCAGCGTTTAGCGGCATAAGATCAAGGTAAAATTATTGGACTATCAGCAAGATAAACAGAGTCAGGGCTAAATCACAGCGGCAGTACAAAAAACGAGGAGTGCAAACACACAGCAAGAAGACTTTAGAAATGAACAGGTCACCTTAACAAGAAGTGGAGCTATGCAACCCAATACGGGGCCATTATGAGACAGTCATGCCTTCCTCCAATTGTCTGAGCGGAGAACAATACGTTGATGACCTTCTTTTGGTTCTTTGTGAATTAAGGTTGAACATCTGTTGCCTTGGGTGATTTTACACCGCTTATTTCAGGACGTTAACACGCTGTCCTAAAGGTGAGACCTCATAGTGCAAACAAATAAATTACAAATCTCAAAAAGATAATATAGAATAAAACAAAAAGATAATACACTACATATAGAGCATAACAGGATAACCTGCATTACTAGTTTTCCGTTTTGATTGCAAGAACGATAAGAAAAAGCTGATCTCCAAAGTAAAAACACATTTCCCTTAATCTCACCCAAGAAGAATAAACAACATAATCCTACAAACGAGTTTGAAATTATAAAATAGAACGTGAAATTGCTTTAATCAAAATTCACATTTGGATGTATGATATGCACTTTTAGTGTCTCATCAAACAAAATGTAAATATGTTTGTTTTCAACCAGAATTCCCAAAGAAAGCCCTATCTGCCATTGGTCAATTAAACAGATAGCCCCGCCCCCAAATCATGCGATTGGTTGAGCCAACATTGTTGTGTTGGGTTGGCCGGAATGCTCAACAAACACCAGTTTACACTTTTCTGAGGGAGTCTATCTACAAATGCCTCACTGCACTTTAAACTGGCAGAAAGTGTTTTAACACTGACAATTTTACACACACATCAACTTAAATATATTAGCTCAGTCTCAGTACGTTTGAATATATATATATTTTTTTTTTATCAGTATGCACTGTCAAATTCCAGAGCGTTCATGTCTGATGAATAACCTTTCCTGTGAAATACGACTAGCCTGTTTTCCTCATTATCATCACTGGAGAGACAGACTGTTTGAGCGGTGAGACAGCAGAGAGAGAGAGACAAAGGAGGTAGAGATCTCATCTTACCTCGTGTTCCAGTTGCAATGTCTGCCACTTTCTGGAAAGCATCCAGGAATGAGCTAGTGACGATGATTGTTGTCCTGAACGACAGAAAGAGAAAGAGTTTGTCTGTAAGAAAAACCTACAAGCAAAGTGGCTTTGACTGGATTCTTGCTAACAGTCGGTATATCACGACAAATATTTCCACTGACAGATTTTTGGAGCTTGCACCAGGTAGAGACGCAGGAGCCAACATTAACAGCACAGCAGTCCACAATGCTCTGGCTGAATGATGTTTAAATACCTGAAGACACTGATGACTGAAGTGCAACTTACTACAAAACATTCTGCATATATTTTCTGCACTTTTTTCACCTTTTCTTGAATTCTGCAGAATTAATTTAGATAAATATGGTAAAAATGTCATTAAACAGAATTGAAACTACAAAAGTCATACTGATACCTGAAAGCATTATCAAACTAGCAACAAAAACGAATGCAAATAATAAAATGGCTGGAGTAGCTGTGCAGCACATTAGAAACAGAAACTTGATTATAGAAAGTCATCAGTTGTAATAGGAAATATTTATTTTTGACAAGTTGCGACACAGGTGTTATGAAAAAAAAATAAACATGAAAGAGGCATTGAATTTTATAAATGGTACGCACTCAAATTGGTGTAAAAAAAAATTAAAAATGTATTAATTAAAAGTAATTCTAGACCAGCAATCTGTGCCTGACAGATTAAACTGGTGGCCATGAAATAAAGTGGTCTTGTTTAAAATTCCTAATCCAACTTGATTTGACATTCAACCAATGCACTTTAATTCCCGTTTATATCTGAAAGCTTACATATACTTGATCATTTGATTAGACCAGTGGTTCTCAACCCACGGCCCATCACGAATTCAAACGCGGCCCGCTGAACACAATTAAAAAAAATAACTTTCAGTTTTACAATTCATTTTAGTTTTTACATTAATTTAAAAAATGTACTAAACAAACATAAGCTATAAATGTTTTTATGTAAAATAATTTAGCTTTTCATATATTATTTTCAGACATGAGCAGACCTGTAGCCTACTCATGTAATTAACGTTACGCATTTAACGAACACTTACAAGCGTGCACTTTGGCAGAATTCAATTCAAATAATCATCAGCAGCCATTAGTTCGGTAAAATTGAGCATCAGAATGGACACATTTGTTATTAAGGGAGAAAAACTAAATGTGGAAAATGCCAGCGAAGGAACACATACAAACAAGAGTAGTCATAGCAGTGAAGGTAGGAGAGTGCTGTACTTTCGGCATCAACTTTCAGTTTGGCCCGCCACTCACTTGAAGATGTTCAGGCTAGAGCCCTGCACGGGCCTCAAATACAGGCCCTAGTCCAGCCCTGACCCGTGACGTTCAGGCCCTAGCCCGGCCCTTGTCCGACAGCTTATCAGAATTACCGGCCCGAGTCCGTCTTTTTTTCCCCTTCTCCCAAAACAGCTTATACTACTGTTTCAGCTATATTAAAATAGTTAAGTTTTGTATGTAATGGCAAAGTGATTATATTTCGTTTCATTTTTTTATTAAGTTAATTTAGAAAAACGTTAAATATAAGTTTTTGCTTTTTAAAATAACGACCAAGCGGCCAGTGGCAGACAGTGAGCTGATCATAGCCTATGTTTGATCAATGTAGCCTTCTCAAATCATCACGATTTGCCTAAAATAAAATCTATAGATATAAAACAGTTCAAGCATATAACAATGTTTTAACGTTAAACCTAGATAAATGTGCGCTATATCCAATAGTTTGTGCGGAGAGTGGAAGCTAAAGCGCGCTTTGCAGGACATAGAGGCGCTAGCGCGATCACTTGCATTTTTTTCAGTGGATACGCCACTTTTACGCACATTTTTGCTCATAAAGGTAAGAATAATACATCATTCATAACTGTAAAGGGTCTACTTTTATTTGTGTGCACTCACAATATTAACAAAACGTTGTGCTTTTATAAAATAAAGAAACTGATTGCAGCAATCATCCTTAATTGCAGAAATGTGGCAAAACATCTCTGGAGAGAACCTCAGATTATTAAATTCGAAAGTGCTTTCCATATTTGGATCAACATAGGCTACATTTGTGAACGCACATTTTCTGCTATGTCGCGCGTCAAGTCACGCTTCAGTGCGCATCTTACAGACTGCAACTTACAATCGCAACTTCATTGTGCCGTTACTCCTTTTGAGCCGAATTTCACAAAATTGGTCAGCTCCTGACAGCATCAGGTGTTTTATTAATGGGGAGTATAATTATTTATTTATTTATTTCAATGGCATTTTTTATTTGAATGACAGGCTATTATAAATCTGGTTGGTTTGTATTGGTGACATAATATGTAAATGATATGCGTGCGGCCTGTGAGACTTGCACTTGGACCATAGTGCGGCCCAGTGGAAAAAAGG